ATTCAAAAATAAAAACATAATCGCTTTCTCAAAATCACATAAAGCCATATTATAACATCGACTGAGATAAAGAATAAAATGAAATATTAAAATCATGATGTATCTCGCTGCATTGCGCGAGTACGCTTCTAGTATATATATAATTTGTTTAAAAGTTAATTTAACGGTTTGAAAGTTTGTTTAAAAGTTTATTGAGTATTAGATTTATTTACTGTTTCAATAATATAATTAGTATTAAAATCTCTAAAATAAAAAAAATATATTGAAAAAAATACCATTTTAGAGATTTTAACTTTGATTATCTATTTTGAAAAAATTATAATTTTTTTATTGAAAATGTTTTCAAGATCTCGTTTGATTTGTAGGAATGGAATGTATTTGGGGGGATTTGGATTTCAAATTCATTCCAATCACATGTTTGGTTTGTTGGATTATCCGGATTTGAAATCCTATAAATATGGGATTTTGAAATCCTTAGGAGGTGTTTGGGATTTTACGGGATTTCGTATGATCTTGTATGTAATAAGGATCTAAAAAATATTAAAAATGTTTGTTTATTAATAATCAGTTAATAAAAATGTAATTTACTTATTTTTATAATTGTTATAATCTTTTTATAAAATATGGTACATTCCAAATCTTACAAACCAGACACACCAATGATCTTAAATTCATTTCAATCCAAATTCTTCTATAAAATCTAAATACTTTAAAGACAATCATGCAAACCAAACGAAGCCCATATAAATGGTTTTGTAAATCCAACTACTTTTGTGGTTGTTATCATTTAGAGCATGTCCAAATATTCTTAAATGAAATTCTAGAGATTATTTTATTCTTACAAATATTTTAAAATGTTTTTTGAAATCCATAAAGAATAGAGGAGGTAATATTTATAATATATTATAAAGTATTTAATAAAAAAATAGAAATCATTTTTTATGCACTAAGTACTGCAAGTTGGTGCATAATACTTAAAATTCAAGGTTACAAATAATTGTGCGTAAGTATAATTTATTAAAGTTTCATGTTTGAATTCTTATAACTAACAACAAATAAACATGACCAAATACAGGATAAACATCTTATTTTAAATAAAAAATCCAAATTATATTTAGAATAATCATTGAGTTTTAATATAATACTTAATTATTGTCTTTATAAAAAATTATATTATTAAACCAAAAATAAATTACCTCTTTATTAAACCTAGATTAAATTATAATAAAGAAATTGAATTAAATACATTACACAAAAAACTAGAACTATTAAATAGTTAATTTGATAATAATATCGGTATATTTTTTTCAAAATTTTATTATATCTTAAACTTATACTTTATTCCAAAATAAAAACATTAACGGTTTCTCAAAACCATATAAAACTGTATCGACATAAACAAAGAATAAAATGAAACATTAAAATCGAGATGTATCTCGCTGTATTACACAAGTAGTCTTCTAATATTTTTAAATTAAAGAAATCTCTAAAAGTAAATAAGGTTTAGGATAAAATTATTAGTGGAGTTTAATAAAAATAAAAGTGGTATTTTATAAAAATATTTAATATAAAAATGGCAGAATATTTTTGAGATAATCAGGACAAATCATGATGATTAATTCCATTCCTTAAAGATTTTGAAACAACCAGTCACATTTAGGGGTGTTTGGGATTGCTTACTTGAAACAACTTATGTTTTTTTTTTATAAAAGTACTTATCAACTTATTATAAGTCAAAAATGTTTAACTTCTTCAAAAACACCTTATTCCGGTTTTGCACAGGTATAAGTTGTTTATCCGAACATTAAAAAATGCTTATTACCAGTGTCACATCGGAACAAGTCAATAAGTTGTTTGAATGTTGTCTGTGGATTTCAATTACCTCTTCTGAACCGGAATAAGAAAGAGCGGAGTCGCAACTCTTCCTGTAGAAACCTCCCGCCATATAAGCAATCCCAGACACCCCTTTAGTTCTTGAAAAAAGTCTGAAACATATATTATCTTTCACTCACATATTTTCTAACATCAATAATATCATAGATAAAGATTAAAAGTCAGACTTTTGATAACTCCAAAATTTTTGAGATCCGTAAAAACTTTTACTTTAAGATTATGTTTTACATGATTTTCTTTTCATCTAAGTATAGTATTTAATGTATTGATTGATATATATTTGTTTCAAAATGTGTTTGTTTCATACATATTCAGTTCATAATGTGAAACTTATTTACATGTACTTCTTGTTTCACAAACACACTAAAAATGTTCAAATTGTGAACTGAGTATATGTGAAACAATCACATTGTGAAACAAATATATATTAATCACTATATTAAATTTTGGTTATAGATGAAAAAAATAATATTAAATAGCACATGATACAAATCTAATTTTTTTAACATTATATATAAAATAATAATAAAACAAATTGAAATTTATTAATTAACATATTATATTATTTAATTTTTTAACATCTAATTTGTATTAGTTAACATATTATATTATTAGTCAATTATTTTAAACATATTATATCATGTTAAATTTTATTAACTTTTAAATATGTCATTTTTTAGTCATTTTATATTTTTCAACTAACTTATCAGCTAGTTTTTGTCAAACATATTTAGTTCGTTAGCTAGCTTATTAGCTAATCTACCAACTTTGTCGTATTTTTACGTATTAGAGAAGTAGGATGCAACGGTGGTCGGTATCATCAGTATGAGAGGTTGGAGTTGCCGTTGGTAAAGATAATATTATTACATGTGTTCTGTGTTAGGAGGATGGTTGCAGATAATAAATAGAATTTAATTAACTTTTTAATATTTGTATAATTACCTCTAAATTTTATATTGCAACTAAATTTATGTCGGCGTATCTTTTAATATTGAAACGTATTTATCAGAAAGTTTAAAATTTGTTTGCTAAAAATATAATTAAAACCAAAATTTGTTATATTTTAATGTAATTTGAATTTATATTCTTACCGTTTGGCTTGGTTAGTCACATGAGACGGCTCGGCTCGGCTAATATTTGGAGGGTAAAGTTAATTCGGTTATCGTCCCAGGCCCAGCTGCTGAACTTCAATCGGTGAACACACAAAAGTGGATGTTTCTGAAGACACGATTCTTCCGTCCGCCGGCCACCCTCCGCCTCCGCATCGGTTCGTACCTTGTACCATCCCTCCATTTTTCTCATCTCTTCAACCTCCACCTCCACCACATAATCATTCTATACCCGATCGTATTACCTGAAATTCGCTTAATTTTCTTCATTTTGCAGTTCTTAGTTTTAACGAATGCATATCTTAATATTGTTACGATAAATTGATTTGGCCGATATTGACGTGTGATCTTCTTTGTGAATTGCTTTCGAGAATTTGGTATTGATTTACATATTGTTGTTGAGTTGTAATTTGGAGGGAGGGGTGAAATGGGAATAGGGTTCATCAGTGTTTCTTCATATTGTGAATTGGGAATTCTTTTTCTATGTGATTGCTCTTGTGAATTGGTTTCTAAGGGCTTAAAAATTGTCACATTACACATTCCAAATCCAATTACTGATCCTACATCTGTGATCTGTGTGTGCGCATGCTTGCTTTTTGATGTTGTGCACATTGGTAGATTGAATATCTTCATGCTTTTTGTTGTTCTTTTCCATATGAGTCTGGGCTTGTTTGTTAGCAGCTTAATGAGCTTAATAGAACTCGCTCCTTTCTGGTCAGCTATATATGATTGTTTGGTAGAGGCTTAATGATATAGAAAGCGGCTTATTCAGTGAGCTTCAAGGGGAGTTTTATGTAGAAAGTCAAGGTTTTTCCAAACCTGCCCCTTCCAAGTAAAAGAACACGCTCCGACCATCTATGAAAAAACTCTCTCCAACAAAAACCTTTCCAATCTATAAAGACTTGTAAATCCACACATGCAACTTTATCCATACACGACTTGATGGAAAACCAACCAAACATCCCCTGAATTAGCATTATGATCACTGGTCTGAACTGAAAAATGCGGATATTCTTTTGATTATAGAGTAATCAATCCCAACGAAGATGCTTATGATCACAATGGCAAGCCAAAAAATACAGATTTTTGTATATGAAAGCAATTTAGCACACCCACCGACTAATCCCCTGGGTGACCACAAATGGCCTAGAGTTATCGCATGTGAGCCTCCATGACCACAAGGGCTTTGGGGGTAGATGAGATGTTCCACTACATCCCCCTGAGGCTTAACAAGTGCGCCACAACCCAAGTGATGATCTATTGCCGGTACAATCTGATTTAACTTTCTGTAAAAATCTTGTAATCCAGATTTATTCTGGAGATGAAAAGTCAAAATCTGCTTAATAGAATTAAGAATCCATTTAGAATCCATAAAGATCTTGTTGTATAAATTGATCATGAGAAATGTTGTATTGTAGCCATTTCTTAGTTTGATCTGCTATGAATACAGCATACTCTTCATGCTTCTCTATCCTAGTATCAGTTATTGATCAGTTTCAGTAGTCTGTTCTACGTTCTTCGAACACAACTATGAAGCTCAAAATTTCGATCCGAGGAGTGGTCTAAGATTCCATTTACAGGTTGTAGAGTAAAAAACCCGACCAACTCCACCTGTTGTTGCTTACTGTTCCTTTGTGATTTACTGGGTTCGTCTGGTTTGGTTTTGTTTATAGTGGGAATTTGTTCCATCTCTTCTTCGGTTTATTTGGCCTTTTATACGACAAAATTTGACTAGGAGTCGGTAGTTGATGACTTAGAGACCATGAAACTTTTAAATAACTCACATTTACCGTTTCTTGCTTCTATGACTGATGAAACGTCTAGCAAATCCGACGGTGAACAAACCAAGATGATTTCTGGGGATGGAATTCCACGTTGGAGTGTTTATGATAGTCTCAAGATTATACCCTTAAAGCCGGATGCTTTAATGGCCGAGATCAATTCCGCTATTTCTTCTCTAGAGTATGCCAAGGCTATGAAGCTCCTGAATTCTCCAGCTCTTGTTTCCAAGGACAAGAAGAACGTCGATGATGGAAACCCTAATTCTTTGTACAGTGCACGAAAGGCGGATGAAGCTTATAAAGCCGGATTGGCATCCTTGGCTGCAGGTAACCTTGAGGAGGCTTTTCGCTCCTTGAATGTGGCTCTCTCCAAATGTCCGCCCAATAAGACGTCTGCTGTTGCTAAGCTTCGATCTCTCATTTCTCTCACGGCTCAACGGCTTCGAAAATCTCCGGGATGACTCAGGTTTGGTCCCTTTTTAGTGCAGCTGTTTGGATTAAGTTCCATTCAAAAATTAACTTGACATTGGCTATAGGTCCATATTTGTTTAATGTTTGTATAGTCTTGTAGCACCAAAAAGCCATCAAACTGCTTCAAGTTTTATATAGCAATTCTTGAAATTGCAAAACTCATAGGCTCAGACAGCTTTCAATAAGATGTTAAAGAGACTCCATTGTCTCATTTTCAAATGGAAACAATTGGATCACCTATCTCCTTGTAAAGCAAGAGACTTCAGGTTCCATTTTCACTCAATGCCGTATTGGACTTCGAGTGCAAAGGCAGAACGTAGGTTGACTGCAAGTCGCACCTGTCGAGGAGGGACAAAAGTCGGCCTTATGCTAAACGCTTACCAGGTAAGTTTTTACCGAGTCACTTTACCTTATCGGATAAACATGACAAGGGTTGAGAATCGTATCCGGTAAGAGTGATGACAAGAATCTAGAGTCTTACCTGGTAAGTGAGAGTCGTGACTCTTACCCGGTAAGCATTTACCGAATAAAAATGTCGCATATGATGCCGTTTTAATGAACTAAAATCTTACCCGGTAAGTTAGGTGAAAATGTTGACTCTTATCGGTAAGCGCTTTATGCTTACCAAGTATGAGTTGGTAAACAACCCATTTAGTGACCGAGTGGAAGGGCCATCGCTTGACATGGGGCATGTCTGCATCTAGGGGTTTTAACGAATCAAGTTGAGTAGTAGGTTGTTTGGGTTTGGCCCAAGAAAATAACATTAGGCTCGAGCTCGAATAATTTTTCTATGCTTGAGCTCGACGGCGGTTTAACAATTTTAAGTTACACATTATGACCTGAAATACAAGTTTTCTAGAAGCTCGTTTATGGGTCGTACCGGAGATTGATTAACTCAATTATTTGCTTGAGCTCAAACGTTAGTCCAGGCAACAACTTTTTTTAAAGAATTTATGATTGTATGATTTATCAACTTATGAACATGTTTGGCTTAAAATGTATATGCTCGTATGACGTGATTTAAGTCATAAGTTTTGATCGGGCTTTTGAACAAACTTGAGTTGTTAAATTGAATAGATTTTAAAAGATGCTAATTGGTTTTACAAAAGATAGACAACACTAAAACGTTTTAAAATAAAAAAGGTAAATTTTTAAAAAATGGTTTAACTTTTATTAAGATGCTAATTATTCATGTAGACAATGGGTACAGTCACTCATTTGATTTTATAAAGGCCGTTTGGTTTGACAAAAGGATCGACAGATCTAAATTTCGTGAAAAGATTTGAAATCCACAGAATTTGGAATCTAGGGGTTTGTAATTAAACCAATTTTGAAATCCATAGAATTTGGAATCAAGGGGTTTGTAATTAATCGTTGGTTTGTAGGATTTTTTTAATGAAATTGAATTTCATTATTTATAAAGACAAATTTTAAAAAAGATTATAAAATATTTTTTTTATTAATTGATTATTACAAATCAAATATTTAAAGTATTATTACAAACAAATTCTATAAAATCCTGCAAAATACCTCATGACATTTTTAAGTTTCATGTTTGTGGAATTTCAGTTCGAGACTATCCTTGTGATGGAATGAAATTCAATACCGCAAACCAAACTTAGGGACCGTTTACCTAAACACTTATCCTGTAAGCACTTACCAGTAAAATTCAACACTACCATTTACTTACCGGGCATGATTTTATTCACTAAAACGCATCGTATGCAACAATTTATCCCGGTAAGCGCCAACCATGGTAAGAGTCTTCGTCTTCACTTACCAGGTAAGATTCTCAATTCTTGCCTTCGCTCTTACCGGGTAAGATTCTTAGTCCTTACCATATTCATCAGGTAAAGTAAAGTGACTTGGTAAACACTTACCCGGATAAGCATTTGGTAAAATCTATCTTCTACAAGAATTTTTTTTTTATCTGATTCAAGTATATATAACAATAGACTTGGACTCTCTTTTTCTTTTGGTGTTCCAAATTCCTACATCTGAAATCTCCCATACTTTCTGCATTAAGCTTTCTTCTGCTACTCCATTAGAACTTCATTCACCCACCAACAATTAACCATTTTTTTCAAACAAACAAAAACTCAAATTCCCAGTTCTACAAAGAAGCCTCAAACAAACATCCAATGGTCATATGGGTCAAGAAGGCTCTTTTTCACCCAAATTGGTCATTTGAATCTCGGTTATGGCGTATGTTTTAACCATCTCTATCTAGTTCAGTTTCTTCATTTGAAATGCAAAGAACCAAGTGTTGTTATTTTTCTTCCAAGTCTACGTGAAATGACTAAACTACAACGTTTAATCAAAACACTAGTGTTCTAACATGATGATTCTTCTGTTATTATGCAGTTGATGAGCAGAGAACAATATCCAACCAAACCAACGTTGGTAGAAACAAAAGGAAGGATAAGAAGGCGACCTATATGAACAAAGTTTCTGAAGACAACAAACAAGAAAGAGGTCATGATGCATCTTGTGCATTTATGCTCTGTGCTCGATATATGAACCAGAAAGTCCAGATGTCCCAAGAACGGTCACCTGCAGTCAGAGAACAACATAGCTTCAACCACCATTTCCAAATTAACCACCATGCGTACCAAGTTACCATGATTAACCTAAATAAGGAGAAACTAGTTCAAAGTTTTCTCAGCATGAACCAAGAAAGAATAGCCACAACGACAATACGATATAAATGGCTCTCATTTATGTTTGTTAAACTTCCACCCTATTTCCATCGAGACAAAAGAGAACTGCTAAATTTAAACATATTATGGGTAGTCTGCAAGGCATATATCTTGAACTAAGGGATTGTTTGGTTGGTTTTCCATCAAGTCATGTACGGATAAAACTGTCTGTGTGGATTAATCTATCTGTATCGACTGGGATTTTCATAGATGGAAGGAGCTAGTTTTTTAATTGGGAGGGGCAGGTTTGAAAAAAACTTGGCTTTCTACATAAAACTCTCCCCATAGCTTATTGAATAAGCCACTTTCTATATCATTAAGCCACTACCAAAAAGTCATGTATAGTGGACATTATAAGTTGTGCATCCCATTAAGCTCATTAAACTGCTAACAAACAGACCCTAAGGTAACAAGCTCCATCACACATTAGAGATAAGCCGCAGAGAGAGAGAGAGAGAGAGAGAGAGAGAGAGAGAGAGAGACTATACCTTTCCCCAATCACCACCAAGACCACTGCACCTCATTTTCAGATGTATCAGTTTCATCCCCAGCTCGTTCTCAACTTTTTTCCGCAAATAGCCCTCATCTGCTCCAAAAGAGTCCAAGTATGCATAGTAGCGTCCAAAGGCTACACTTAATGCATTAGCAACATCATTGGATAAAGGTTTGACATTCTGCAATATGGTTTAACTAGTTAGACAATATTTTTTAAAGAAAATATTACATATGCCCTTCATAAGAAAAGTAAATGTCACCTCGCCACTCAGTCCAACACTGTCGTCAATTTCCATTTTTAACGTCACAAGGAACCCGCTGAACTCTTCTACCGCCTCTGCAGCACGTAAAAGGTTGGCTAATGCCTCCTGGTTAGCCTTGTCTTCGGTGTTTTTAGACAATGCTCGCTTAGCTTTACAAATAACAGTATCTGGTATTTCAGCCCAGTTTACAGCCATAAGCTCCTTAAAGGCATGCTTGATATCACCATCTTTTATGTCTGGCAAGTGTGTCAAGCCATCGCTGAAACAACGGGTACTTCCAATTCCCATTGCAAAAGGAGAACGACCGTCTATTTATGAAGAATACCAGAATCAGTTTTCCATTTCCACATCAGAAACCCAATTGAAAAGAAAATATTAGATAATAGAAATCAATATTAGAAAAAAATACCATCATATACCTAGCATGCATAAGTACAGGTTATTTCCTAATGAGCGAACATTGGATAGAGCACTTAAGTGAACTCAACATACTAATAAAGTCTGCAATATCCATATATCTAGTTGACTTATAATTAAAACAATATAAAGTAAGCCACATAATACTTCCGAGGGGTTCCGTCCCCTTTATCCAAAGAACAAATGTTAGCATTCAAATCTTTCATGATGCATCAAGGGTGTGTCAAATCTTGTAAAGCAAGGTAGACCATAGTTTCAAGGCTGTCATCAATTTTTAAGGGTTCCAACTCGACTCAATCCAACTAGTCATCAGTCCCTCCCTTTGATCCTTGGACGTTGACTAGTTAGGTTTGTATTTACTTGATGCAATATTTTTATTCTCAATGGTCATTGGTCACCATTGCTAGATGGTTCAGAATTTCAAACACAAATTCTTGGCTTGTCACTGGCGCGGAATAGTGATATTGAGATAAATGATGTAAAAATTTGGTGGATACTTTTTGATGACCAGATGCTTGGTATAACACAGTAAACCATACTCCACAATCCGTAACAGCCTACACTCATCATGTTTTGTTGCATTTTCATAATAGTGCTTAACGCATATGCATATCTACTCTTTTCTCTCACTGTCATTATGCATGTTGCCTTTAGATTATTGATAATGAGTAACGATTCTCCCAGCAACTGAACAACAAAACCAGCAACAATCTGATCTGAGATACTAAATAATGGCATAGTGCATAAAATTTCCTGTATTTCTTCAGAACTTGTACATTTCTAGAGCCAATTACCTATACCAAATATTATATATCTTTTAAGTGTTCCCTCTCTTCATCTGACCCATTGTATTGATATTTTCATCTAAACATTCATCCTGTTCCCTAAATCATGCTTCATGAAAGAGCGTTTTTCAATCAAACTACTAAAACATAGACTGGATTCATTACAAAAATAATATTTCGAAAATCCTAATACACATCATTAGCCCTGAAATCATACGATATCGTGATAAGACACAAATTACACAAATCAATATCCTTTTTCTCGAAATTACACAAATCAATATCATTTTTCTCGAAGTCTGAAGAATACACATATAAAAGAAAACAAAACAATGGAAAAGAGTGTTACTGTAGGGCAGTGATGAAGGAGCGTGGTGAAAGTAGCGGATTCCATGGCTGAGGCATTGGTGGTTGCTGGTTACAGCGGCGGGGGCGACAAAACCTAAAGATCTCCGTGAGATCGATCGGTAGAGAGATCTCATCATCACCAATTTCTCCATAGCTGCGCGTATGTGTGAAAACTGAGGATCGGAAAAAGCTTCTTGAATCCCCTACGCAGGAATGCCTTTGTTCTTGCAAATGGTAAAAGGACCGAGATGTTAACATTCATTTTCCAAAGCTATAATTACACTTAGTCCCCATGTATTTTATATATTATCAATTCAACCCCCTATAGTTTCACAAACTTTTCGTAGCCATTAAAGCATCTCCAACAAAAAATTTATAATTTCCGTAAAATAAATAATCAAAAGTTAAAATGTTTAAAAAATCTATACTATATTATAAAGTATTTGACAAAAACTCTTTAAAATCAATTTTTATGCATGAAGTACTGTTTAGTGATCCACATTACTTAAAATTCAAGTTTACAGACAAATTGTGCATAAGTACAACTTATTAAAGTTTTATGTTTGAATTTGTGTAACTAATTACAGATAATCATAGTTAAATACAATATAAAATTTTTATTTTAAATATAAAAAATTTAAAATATAATTAAGATAATCATTGATTCTAAAGGAATACTTAATTATTATCCTTATAAAAATTATATATTATTAAATAAAAAATAAATTACTTCGTTATTAAATCTAAATTAAATTATAATTAAAAATTTGAATTAAAGAAATTATACAAAAAACAAGAACTTTTAGATAATTAATTTAATACTAATATTGATATATTTATTTTCGAAATTTTATGATATTTTCAAATTTATATTTTATTCAAAAATAAAAACATTATTCATTTCTCAAAACCACATAAAAACCGTATTAAAACATCTACAGAAACATTAAAGTCGAGATATATCTCGCTGTATTGCGCGAGTACCATTCTAGTCATATTTAATCAACGTGTTCGAATTACTATATTGCAAGTGAAATTTGAATTGTCAGTTTTTTTTATGCGTATGGCATATTTAACGAGGGGATGAGTCTTTTCAAGACATACAATGATCAAAATAAAGATTTCTAAAAGCTAAAATTTATCGATGACTGTTATAAACTAAATATTTAAATCTAACTTTATACTAATTCTTAAAGTTTATGGGTATTCTGGTAATTTAATAAAAACAAATATTCAAAATGAATTAAAAAAATATAAATTCCCAAAGCTTAAAAACATTAAAAAATATACAAAGATTTTCTGAACCTCTTAAAAAGACTGATTTGCAAATATACAATAACATAAAATAAAATAAATAAAACGGGTCGGCCAAGGATCCAAACCCGCCCATTTTTGTTTTTAGCAAACATAAATCACCCATCAGACCAACATGATGGAAGCCCAGGCCCAAGCATTGGCCCAAGGTGGATGAGACAAAATTTGATGCAAATAATAAATCTATTCTGATAAATAATATTAAATTTTACATCAAAATGTAATATTCTTAGTATATGTCTTTTTTTCATTGGTACAGGAATTTAGGTCTCGTTTGGTTTTGTTGGAATGGAATGATTTTGATGAATTTGGATTTTAAATTTATTTCAATCTCATATTTGGTTTGTTGGATTTTCTGAATTTAGAATTCTAGGATTTGATTGAAATCTTTAGAGGGTGTTCAGGATTTCATAGAATTTCATAGGATTGTATGCAATAAAGTTTTAAAAAATGTTAAAACATTTGTTTTGTAATAATCGATTAATAAAAATGTAATTTAATTATTTTTATATTTTTTTTTATAAATTATTTATAAATAATGAAATTCAACTTCATTTCAAATTCTACAAATCAAAGACACCAATGATTTCTAATTCATTCCAATCCAAATCCCTCCAAATCCAAATCCATGAAAAACAATCAGTCAAACCAAACAGACCCTTAGGTGACATTTGTTTTTTAAAAGATGCTAAAGTCTAGAGTATTATTTCACTTCTGATTTATAAGAAGTGGTGCTGAAGTCTAAAATCTAAATTAATAAAACTGTTTGTTTTTGTAAACTGATAAACGTTTGAATTTGTTTATTTTACTCATTAAAAAAAATTATAGTGTTGAATTTATAGACAAATTTATACAGCTTAACATATTTATTCATTATCATTACAAAATTTACATCTAATTAATATAATTAACATTCATTTAAACGAAAATATGTCATTAACGGTGTTCAACACATTCAAAACCTATTAAAATACATCAATTGAGAAATATAATGATTGAGAAACGTCATTGTTGAGGGTTTGAAAAATAATAAGAGGCATATAAGAGGTTAGTTTACCTATTACCAGATAAGAGAAAAATAAAATATAAGTGCCTCTGAAAAATTGAAAAACAATTTGAATCACCTTAGCTCTTAACAAATTAGACATAAGAGGTTGATAAAAGCTTTGTTACAAAAACAAACAAGGCCTTAGTATAAATGAATAGTAATACACCAAATCTAATGCAAGATTGGAGTCCCCCTATAAATGATTTGGTGTTACATTTGATATATTTTTTTTTATACATAATCTGATGTCCCCATTGAAAATGGTCTCGTTTGGCTTGTTTTTTTCTTCTTCGTTGTTTTTACATCAATTTATATCTGATATAATAATCTAGTATTATGATGAACTACAAACTTTCAATTCTAGATTTTAAGGTTTCAGTTTTGAATTGAAGTATGAGAAAATTTTGAACTTAAATCAAGTAAGTTTGGCATATAATGCTACTGAAATCTGTTACGGTACTTCATACGAGATATTTTTGTCATTTTATTGGTCTAGAGATATCCTATATTTATACAAAAATGATACTGGTGTATTAAAGCATCTCTAACATTTATACTATTTTTAGGAATTTCTGATATTTGAAAAAAAAAAATTGTTTCAACAATTATGTTAAACTCTTTTCTAAAATCGAGAAAAATATGAGAGATAATGGAAAAATCTAGAGACGAACATGATATGGTGCCATGTTTTTTTCAATACACAGTGTACCAACCAATTATAATTGATATGTAGAATTTTATACCATGTACCGACCAACTAAATTGGTACCAACTCTTTTCGGTTGACACATGTTGGTACGGTTTTCTACCAATATCGTAAAGTTGAAGTTACAAGTATAATTAAAAAGAATAAGTTGGTACAGTATTACCGTGGTACACGACTTCTAATGCCACGTGTCAACCAAGTTTAGATAGTTGGTACTGTACTACCAAGTACCAACCAGTTAGATTGATACTAACTAAGCTGGTACATATTAAATTGTTACGGTTGGTACGAGAATTTGTTGATTCGTCTTGGTACAAAGTTGACACCCCTAGAACAATCTCCAAATTTGAAAGAATAAAGAAAAAAAATATAGCATACATGTTGGAGATACTCTTGGTTGACAGACAAATTTGAAAGAATAAAATTTTCATGTCAGGGAAGGAAAGATATCATTTTTATAAATATACTTTATTTATTATATAGTAGAATGTAAGTGATGGGTATTTGTGTAATTTTATAAATATTTTTTTTTCTTCTATATTTGGGAGGAAATTTTGGGATGAAAATCAACATTATTTTCTTTATGTTTTCTTTCCCTCTTTTAAAAACTCGAGAATACAATTTTTTTTACGTCGCTCCTACTTTTCTTTCCTTTTCCTTTATTTCTTTCGTAAAAAAGAACTCGAGAACACAGAGATATGTCACTTGTGCCTAGTGATGGCCATATCGGCTTGACCCGGCCCGGGACCGTCGGAGGACCGGGACGAGGACAGGCAATGACCGGTTATGGGACCGAAAACGGGGACCGGATGGGGTTTTTGGTAGCGTCGTGGGACCGGGACCAGTTATGGAACCGGTCCGGCCCGACTCAAAAATTCAAATAATTTTATAAATAAATGTATTTTTAAATAATTTTATAATGTATTTTTATAAGACAATGTAATTTTAATTATATTAAAACGCATTTTTAAAGTGTATTTAAGTGATCCAATTGTAAATTTATAATGTATTAAAAATATATATCATTAAAAAAATTAAAAAAAAATCTTACTTTTTTGCGCCGGGCCTGGGACCAGCGGCTCATAACCGGTTATGAAGTACCTTGACCGGTCCTACCATTTTCGACCGGGACCGTTTATGGCTGGTTATGAGAAAGCTTGGGACCGATTAAGCCCGGCCCAACCCGGGATCGATTTTTGGCCATCACTACTTGTGCCTCAACTTATAAAAATTGACGTTCCCTTAACTTTCAATAAATATCATTTTCTTCTGAATTTGAGTTTTTCTTCCAATTTAACCTTATCCCTTAACTTCCGGTATTGCCCCATTTGTTGTGGTCAAAACAACATGGTGATAGAGTTAATAGATTTCCAAGTTGGGCAAAATCTTCTCGATTTGGTTGCTTTCAAAGTTCGGTCATACTACGAATCTGAGTTGCCTTATTCAAGTAAATCAATAGAGTTTCATCAAACCTTCTCAATACCAGGTTGCCATAACCAACATCTTTTCGAAGCATAACCAACATCTTTTCGAAGCATCAATTGCTTTGAGATACAATTTATCGAGTACAAAGAGAGAGAGAGAGAGAGAGAGAGAGGCAAATTCATACAGAAACAGTAACCAATAAGAGAACACAAAATGACCGACTCACATGTAATTTTACACTAAAATCACATGTGATTCATATGACTTTGGCTGCAACCTGAGGTCGTGGGCCTGGTCGGCCCCTCACCCTATCGTTGACCACATCCTTCAATTGCATGTAAACGCACATGTGATTTAGCCGTTTTCTTGTTCTCTTATTTTGACCATGTTCTCGTTTGATCTTTCTTCCATATGTGTGTGTGTTTGTGTATGTGTGGGTTCTAAAAACAAAAAAAAAAAGATTATCTTAATTTTAATTTGTTTTTAATATTTGTTGCTCAATTACGTTTTTCTAGTACTAGTAAAAAGAAAGAAAAAAATTGATATTAAACTGATACAAATTACACCATCCTCGTTTTTCTACAGTTAAATTACGTAATTTTACCTCAATTGTGAAGAAGTCTATGCAACAACTCTCATAAACGTCAATGTCAATAAGTTTTAGCTCTAACCGACACCATCATCATATCTTCTCTTTTCCCTTAGTTTCGCTACCGGTCGAAAACTTGCCTAGGTT